ACGTGAAGAAATACAAAGGGCAAGCGGTAGCTGTGGACACCTACTGCTGGCTGCACAAAGGCGCTTACGCTTGTGCCGAAAAGCTGGCCCGGGGAGAGCCGACAGATGCGTAAGTCTCTTACGTTTTGATATCGGCCCTCTTACAAATTAAAGCTTTGTTAGGTTGACCTTTCTTGAGCTAAAAACTAAGCTGAAGCAGTTTCGCTTCTTACTGTTGCTTCTGAAGTTTCAGTCCCGGTTGTGCTTTTTGAAGATGGAGAAGTTGGCTGTAAGTAAATAACTAACCAATGGCACGAAATAATACTGGCGGATCTGTTGGGGAGGAAAAAAATAACTCTTTAAATATTTTCTATTAAAAACCCAACGGTTAGACGAATTAAGTTTTTTTCCAGGGCGTGATCTGGCTTTGGTAAGGGGGTTGGACTGGATGATCTCTAGAAGTCTCTCCCAACCCTTAACATTCTATGATTCTGTATTTTGCTCTTGATTACAATCCAGTCTCTCTGATGAGATGCTACCGATGCTATTCACGTTTCAAATTCAGAATTATTTTCATGAGCTTTGTACAAAGTGATAGTTTGTAAATGCTGCTGTGACAAAAATTGTAGTGATACTGAGGAATTTTGATAGATGTGTTGTGCTCCGAAGAAGGTGTAAGGTTTTTTGCTTAACATACTATATTTGTAGTAAGAGTACTTTTTCTAACGTAACATGGGTTTTTCACTTACACAGTTACATTTCTAAGGAAGGAAACAGAAATTGTGGTAATATTTCAAATTCAGCTTTGGAGCTTAGATCAGATTTGCATAAGTTCTTGCACATCTCTGGTAATTTGGGGTGAACTCTTGTTTCAGTTTGAACATAGTTTTAAATGACAATCTCTATCTTTTCAGAAATAAAGTTACACTGATTGGTCTAGATCAAATTTCACTTAGAAACTTTCGAGTAACTGTTCGATTTGAGACAAGAAAGGGTTGATCGTTTGCAAATGGATTCAAATCTTTAACGCTCGTTTCTATTGATATGAAGAGCTGCCTTTGAAAGTAGTGAAGATCCCTCAGAGTCCTGACAATAGAGTACATTTCAGTTGAGACAGAAACTGACTAGCAGGAGAAACATTAATAGTCATAAGAAATCTTGGAATGGTTGAATTTATCTACGTGAATATTTTATGACCATATCTTGTTTCCATGCACGTGATACTTCATACTGTAGAGAGTCCTTTCACACTTCAAAATTCATCTGAATTAAGGTATTATATAACTACAGTCCTATTTGGTCGTATCTTTCAAAAATCATAGCTATTTTTCAGTTTGTTCTGTAACTCCTAAATCCAGTTTCTTCAGTGCTCCTGAGTCCTGTTCACCGCCCCTCGCTGCCCCCTGCTGGGAAGGATGCTCCTGCTTGTCTAAGCAGTGCCCTTAAAAGATAAAACAAACTAAAGCACTTAGTGTTTATGGCAGCTATTAGATTTTTAGTTCCGTGCTGGTGATGAAGCGATTTCATACGGATTTGTGGCAATAACAGGTAGGGAAATCGGAGGCCTGAGGGAATACATAAAGTCTGGAATTCCCTTACAAATGTCTTTGTTAAGGGATGGGCTTGGAAGGCAGTGGAGGATTGCCTCCTGGTCCATACAACATCTTCACTGTTAGTTCTGTTTGGGGAACTCTCCTGTCTTTTGGAATGTTTTCAGTGCGGTGCCTGTATTTTTAGTGTGGGAAGACATGTTTGCATGTCTGTCCATAGCAGGTATCCACCATCTGGAGAGAAGAGTGCCATTCCACAGAGAGAGGTTTGACAGCCCGGCACTCCTCCGACTCCTCATAAGTGTGCTTGGTCTGCCTTTCAAGGCTTGGGGAAAGACAATGTCCTGTGCTCATCTGCCTCTTTCCTGGCCATTATGGATCAAGTTACTGAAACTAGAAAGTAGATCCACGTTTTAACTTGCAAAGTTTTTGGCAGTATGTTCTGGTTCTGTATGAGCTCAGGGCAGGACTGCACGAAACAGAATTTTGTGTGCTCCCCCTCCCCCCCCGAGAGAGGCTTTGCACTGATTGTAAGTTAAATTAAAGTATATTGTTTAACAGGGAACAGAAAGCAAAAAGGGAGGGGTGTGTGTGTATATATATATATATATACACACAAAGATGGGAGGAACACAAAGTAAACAAGATGTATAAAACCCAAATCTCAGATGGCAGTAGGATTGCTCAGGACTGCATGGAATCAGGCAGGCTGAATCTTAGCAGCACACCAGGACCCAGAGCCACAGGGCAAGAAAGCGAAGCACCCACTTCCTGCCCCTTTTAAAGAGGTGGCAGAGGAAAGGGAGGGAATAAACAACTTCCCCCGGGACCCTCCTGGGTCCTAGAGATCATCTGTCCCACCCCCAAACCTCAAACCACAGCACAGTGTTGAATCCTAATGTAGCAAAATTAAACTGAATTGTACTCAAGTCCTTATTTCGTTTAGTGTAGGATTAGGGAGCAGTCAGTTCAGTTCTGAGTTTGGAGGTGGAGTTCTTTTGCTAAAAAACAGCTTTCAAGTGTTCTTACTCTTTTTGTGATGCTCAGAAAATTTATGGTCCATTAGGACTGACTGTTGTTCAAGGATCTTAAGCTTACAGGTTTTGTTTCCTGCAAACAGAAAATGTGCTATAGACTTGTGCTTAACAATAAAGTTTATTTTTCTGTTGTTACTTTTGTTATTGTTGATACAGTTATGTAGCTTTCTGCATGAAGCTTGTTGATATGCTCCTCTCATTTGAAATAAAACCAATTCTGGTGTTTGATGGATGCACCCTACCTTCTAAGAAGGAAGTGGAGAAGGCCCGACGAGAGTAAGTACCAAACTGCATTGATTTGCAGGCAACACAGTCTAACGCTACCGTTCATTTTCAAAGCTGAAAAACCTCAAACTTCAGCTAGATGGTAATCTCTGGTAAACTTTGCTGCAACGTAGTGTTATTTAATTTACATTTAAAAATCATCCAAACCTCTTCTTAGAGGTTTTAGTCCAAAAATAGAAATGCACTTCATAAATGAAAGTACTGTTATAGGGGAAGGAAGTAAACCTCTGAGCATTAGCTTCTGTAACGTATTAAAGGCTTTTAGTTTATCTCCCTTTGTGATCTCTGGACAAAAATATTTCTTCCTGATATATTTTATTTAAAAATAACACCACCTTCCTCATCTTTCTCTAGAAACAACCAGATAAATGTGTTTCAGGTTTGGATTCAGGTCCCTATATAATAGGCACTTCCCACTGAGGCAGGGAGAGTTTTTCACTAGCATTTTTTATTTATAAATTCTCATGGATATGTACATCCTTCAGCGTGGAGCAAACGATTTCTGATATTTGAAATTAAATAAATGATGCCTTCTGTCCTTTAAACCAATAAGTATCTCATGTCAGCTACTTCCAAGTTCCATTAAATCTATTTCACTGCAACCTGAGCGTGGGTGCATCTCTTACACTGCTGATTTCAGTTCCTGAGTTGTTGCTGTTTTCTGAGAAAACATTGAGTTTCAACATGTCAATCTAATCATCCTTTTAAATACAATGACTTGATTAATGTATTTTTAAATTGTGTAGTAGAATATATGTGGGAAGTGTTCCTCTGAAAAATAAATTCCCCCCACCCCCCTTTCCTACCAGTCTCTTAGTCCTTTCTGCTACTTGTTCTAAATGTAAAATAATCAGGTTGGATATTTTTGTTTCTCTTTCAGGAAGCGTCAAGCCAATCTTCTGAAGGGGAAACAATTGTTGCAGGAAGGCAGACTTTCAGAAGCTAGGGAGTGTTTTGGGCGAAGTGTAAATGTTACCCATGTTATGGCTCATGAAGTTATTAAAGTAAGTTGTCAATGCTGTTCATACTGTGATTTTTTTTAAAAAAAATAAATCTATACAGTATGTAGCATGCCTTACTCTGCTTTTGTATGGCTACATCACTACCTCTTCTGTGTAGGCAAGGAAAATATTCTTCCCTTCTTAGCCTGTAACTGTCTGCATCCATTGGATGTTGTTAGGCACAACTGACAGAGTTTAACTTCACTCCAAGTTTCTTATGCCAGGTTATATAAATAAAGATAATGTGTTGACTGAAACACATCTCTGTACTGCTGTGAACTGACTTTGATATCGCCAACAATTTTACTTTGATGCACAAAACTAAACACAGGGGTTGGGCTTTGGTTTTGTTTTGTTTTTTCCCCTTGGCTAGTTCCTGAGAATAGACTAGAGAAAAAAAATTGTGTGCTTAAAAATCTTCCTAGTAGCTTTTTGCTATTCTATCACTGGAGTCACAGTCTTTATCAAAATAGTATTACATTTGTTCTAGTGCTGTTTGCCTTTGCCCAGCATGTAACTTGGGTGAGTTTGAAGCTGGCATCTCTGGTGAGTTGCTGTGAGCACAGTGTTACAGGGCAATACAGGAAAGGTGGGGTGTGTACATCAGTCTGTGTAGATCTAAACTGCTTGAAACTTGAGTTTTGAATATTAAATGCCAGGCTTTAATGGGGGAGACAGGTGTGTGATTAAAAAGGTCACGGTTTCAGGTTTTTTAAGATGAAGATTCTCATGATTTCAGAAGTCTTCAGGCAATTACTGGAAACTGATGTGAAGTCCTTGTGTGCTTCTTGTTCATGTACAGGCTGCACGAGCCCGGGGAGTCGATTGTATCGTTGCTCCCTACGAAGCTGATGCTCAGCTGGCTTATCTTAATAAGGCTGGCATGGTTCAAGCAATAATTACAGAAGACTCTGATCTTTTAGCTTTTGGATGTAAAAAGGTATGGAAGAAAATGCTAATAGCCCTTACCGCTTGTTAATCTCTTAAAAGCAGAGTTAGAAGTTGACAAATGTGTTGGATGTATGGATTTACTCATTTACAGTAAATGGTGGAAACAAGAATTGAGAATAGCAGCAGTTGGCCTCTGTTTCCACCAAGTGCAACTAACTTAGCTTATATGAGTGGAAATTATTGTTTTCACTTCCTCTTAATTTCCAGGTGTTTCTGAAAATTGACAAGTTTGGAAATGGACTAGAAATAGATCAAGCTCGCCTAGGAAACTGCAAGCAGCTCGGAAATGTGTTTACGGAAGAGAAATTCCGCTACATGTGCATCCTTTCTGGCTGTGACTACCTCCCATCCATCCATGGAATCGGATTAGCTAAAGCCTGCAAGTTACTCAAATTAGCCAACAATCCAGATATCATAAAGGTAAACTTGGTTTCGCTTTGTGTGTTGGCTTTTTGGGGGCCTGTGTCAGTAAATATGGAATTAACACTGGATTGAAAATATCGGAGGTTCCTGACTTCTTCCATTTTGAGAAGAATGCTAAAAGAAGGGTTTGTTTTTTTTTCACGTGTGCTTTAGAAAGATGCTGAGCTAAACTTATTCAGGTGTTGAAGCTATTACATATTTAATGAAACACACTGAAGTAAACTTAAAGAATTGTTCAAATGTTTCAAGGGCATATTATATTTGAGGAGACACTTCATTTTTTATAAGGCTCTGGATCACTTTTCCCCTCATTACCTGTTTTTTCTTCTGTTTTTGCTGATTAGTTATTAGAACTGCTAATTTGAACTCTGTTACTTTTTCCAAAGTACACTTTTATCTGTACTGGGGAGGGGCAGGGATTTAGAATCTTGTTTCACTTGTTGCATTTAATTAAATATGGATCCAGACATTAAAATAGTAAAAAAAAAAAAAGTTTGGTAAAACAAAAATTAAGGTGGGTGTTGGTTTTTTTCCTTATCCAACGTATGAAATGAAAACAAAGAGTATTAGGAAATACAGAGGCTAAGAGAGCGGGAGTAATTTCTGTGTAGATAGTAAGGGAGAAAAGAGGTTTTTAAGAGCTAATAAGAAAAATAACTTATGTGCCTGTGTTGGAGGCAGTTAAATTAATCCAGAAAAACATTTAAATACACAATCTAACTTACTGTATTGTTTTCTTTCTTAAGTTACATGTATGCTTCAGTGTTTTGTTTGTGTTTTTTTTTTTCTCTTACAGGCTGTAGATGAACTATAATTTTTAGTTTTAAAATGTTTATGTGAAGCAGACATCAAAGCAACTGCTTTGGTTGGCTTTTACGGAAGTAAAAAGGCAACTGAACTTTTCCCATGTGAATCATGATTTCTTTTAATGTATTCTTTTTGAGCAAAATGTCAGGATTTAATAATTTGAAAAAATTTTCACTTAGTAATTAATGTGATTCATCACTGCTGTTTTCCAAGTGTTAGAAAATCATGTGTGTTAAAAGATGTAAAGTAGTCCAACAGTGCCTGTTCAAATGCTTGCTTGTTAATGAGATGAGTAAATTTGGCTGTATTTATGATACACAGCCAAAACACAGATGATATTACAATTGGAGAGAAGGAACAGGAACGGTTGCTTCCAGCAGTATGATAAACTTGATCTTTAAAAGAAAGTAATCTGCTTTCTGTGAAACTGGAAAATGTAGAGGACAATTAGTTAATAGGAAATTTTTTGAATGGTGAAGTAATAATATATAGGAAGAGCTATTTAATCAAAATGGAGTCCTTTCTGATGGGGGGGTGTGTGTGTAATCTGATTAGTTTTGCTTTTTTTTTTTGTCCTAGAAACACTCATGTATTGCTTATGTGTTCTGACAACATGAATGATAATTTGATATTCTTTAGTTTTAAGAAATATACCTTGCGGAGATGCTCTGTATTCTGTTCAGATTTTGTATTTATGTATTGGGGGAAGAAGTATTTACGAGGAGTTAAATTGCGTTATTTTTGAGACTGAGGGGGAAAGTAATGTATAAACCCTTGTTTTTCCTTCCCGTGTTTAGCTTGAATCTGCTATGTTGTAACAGGATACACATTCTACATTTAATTATAAGCAAAGTTACTTAATTGAAATGTATTTAAACTTTTGTGTAATCTGTCCAAATGAAACAATGAAGCAATTTTTTTTTTGACAGGTTATTAAGAAAATGGGGCAGTACTTGAAGATGAATCTCACAGTACCTGAAGAATACATACAGGGTTTTACACGAGCCAATAATACATTCCTTTATCAATTAGTTTTTGATCCCATCAACAGAAAACTAGTTCCTCTGAATGCATATGAGGATGATATTGACCCAGAAACACTAATTTATGCTGGACGGTATCCTTTGTGCTGAAACAGTGGGGTAGGGACATCAGGTGTGGTGTTCTATGCTTGTGCTTGCATTTCTCATTGCATCTCTAATTTCTCTGGTTCTCTGTGGTGAAAACCCAAAGCATGGGTTTTCTGGAATCGTAAAAGTTCTTTTCTTTGTTATTTTGCTCTGATTTTAGTTAATAAAATAAAAAAGGTGCAGAGGGTAACGGAATGGCTCTTTATTGACATAATTTTAGGCAGAAGTTACTGATCTTTTTTTCTCCTTGGCATACAACTCGTTAGATACAGGTGATATTTAAACTGTTTATGTTTCTTTAATTTCTGCCTACGGTTAAGTGTGTTATAATCTCTGCTAGTTTAATTCTTGTAATCCATGTTGAGCTCATTCCCCAATCTAAGCGTTGCCTGTTTTGCCAGGTATCTTCTACAGAACACAGAGCGTTTTCCCACATTTGTGCAGCATAAACTTCAGCCTGGAAGATCAGGAAAATGGAGAGGGGACTGCTGAAGTAGTTACTAACTTTGTATGATCTTCAAGCCACCTAATCTCTGGCATTTCCAGAAATTAGGAAGGGGAAAGATGGTAACATTCCAGCTGATGAATGAAGATTTTTCCTTTTGACTTTTGTGATTTGCCACGCACTGCAGATCTATTACAACTGCTGCTGCATCAGACTGAGCCATGAGGAGTAGTAGTGTTAATGCTTTAGGTTAATATGCAAGCAACGCTTTTTAGCTCAAAAGTGGGAAATACCTCGTCTAACTGTCATGCTGCTGTTCTTGAATTATAATGTAGTATTTGGATATTTTCCTTTAACGTGATGGGCACAGACATTTTGGTGATAGTACTGCTTTTCAGATTGCCATTGGCAACATTGATATCGATACAATGGAACAGATTGATAATTATAACCCTGACACCGCACAGGTAACGTCTTTATTTTGAGGTTATATATTAAGATTTTGATCTGGATCTGAACATTCATGGAAAAATATGATTGAATGTTATCTGCAACTAACCCAGCAGTGAAAGCTGTTCTGTTATTACAGAAACTGTGTGCTCCCACACCCATATTTCTCATTCTTTGTAAAGGTAAAATCTTACTTTTCATGTCATTTGACTTCAATGTTTGGTTTACTTTCAGACTTCATGGTAAGTCCTTAATACTATTGACAGAACTGATTTAAAATGAAAATTCTGAAAGATTTCCAAGTATAGAATTCTGAGGAAAATGTTTTTCCAAATTTGATTTTTTTTTTCTTTTTCTTTCTGAACAGAAATAAAACTTAAGCTTTTAATTTTGTCTGAGATGAGCAGTTAGTCACTTGCACCATATTGGAATGAACAAGTCGTGGGAGAAAAAAAAAAAGAATTTTTATGAAAAAGCATGAGAAATGTGGGGGGAAAAAAAAAATGTGTAGAGTATGTCACTAGTTGTTGTGCAAGTGTCAAAAATGCCCTTGTATGCTAAACCAGGAAATCATATAGAGAAAGCAAAATGATAAGCCTATGTCTTGTTTTCCAATCTTTTTTGTAGCCTGTGCAACAGAGGAGTTGTGGCTGGAATGACACACATGCTAATCATGTAAATAGCATTTGGAGCAAAGACTACAAGCTTGGCCCTAATGCAGATACTGTCCCTCATAAAATGCATTTTCTAGAGAAACCAACAACCAAAGGCATGGAGAAGATAATTAGTGTTAAAGGGCTGAAACTTCCAGGCAAAGAGCTCTTGCCAAAAAGGCCAAGGAGTGGTATGTTGTTTTTATAAAAAATATATAAATAAGAGTATACAGAGTGTATAAATCTGCTTCCTTTCCTTTTCTGCTTATGCTACAAGGGCTCCTGTTTTGCCTTTGCTGCTCCTGATATCTTCATGCTCCCCTGGTTTATCAAAAATTTGTAGATAGCTTAGCATCTTGCCTTTAACTTAAACTTAGTTTTGCTTTCAAAGTGTTTAAAACTAAACCAACAAACAGCATGCTTCATCTTAGCTGTTCTGCCTTCACTCTTTCTAGTTTTTCATAGAAAGTTACTTCTAAGGCTAGAAGACAAGCGCATTAAACACTTCCAAACTGTAAAGTCAGGAATGTTCATACCAGATCTTACTAATTTTTAGGGCTGTGAGAAAAATATGTAATGCTCAACTCTTTCATAACTGGTTAATTCTAAAACATACTTCCACAGTGATGCTTAAATTGTCTTTTAGATTTAGAAGAAATCTCAGATGGAGATCTGTTGAACCAATATTCATTTTCAAAAGCAAAAAAATTCAAGGAGAGTAATCATGATAGACAAGAACAAAAGAGTGTCTCAGCAATACAAAGCCTTGATTCTTCAGGAAGTTCTGTCGCTCAAGAAAGCTCCAACTCCCTGCCCAGAGTCAGAAATAAATTTGCTTCCTTTCTACAAAGGAAAAACAAGGAGAAGGATGCTGTAATTGTTCCAGGAACAAGAAGCAGGTATGCTTGTATGCTTGCATTTTAATAAATAACAAAACACTATTTGCTGCCCTGGTTGCAGAAATAACCTGAATACTGCAATGAGAAATGCTACCTCAGACTTGAGGCAGCTGTGTTAATGTACCTGTAGTCCTGAGCTGGAATGGAGAGAGCCCTTTGTGCTGCACACGCTGTCTATCTGTGAGATGGGGCAGTAAATAATGGCAATTTTTACTGCCGAAATGAAGACTGTGATAAGACTATTCAGTACAATCTAGCCTCTGGATATCAAAATTAATTAAAAATTAGCCAGATTTCTTTTCCAGGTAAAGGTTGTATGCCATACCTCAAAAAAAAAAGTTGCTTCTTTGTGCCAAATCTGTAAGCAGTTAGTGGCTATATTGACTTCTCTTAGCAGGGTTTTTTTGTTTGCTACAGTAAAGCCAAACTTGGTCATACTGTATGGCAAATTCCTGTTCTTATCAGGAGCATTAACTGAACAGGATGCTCCAGCACTGCAAGAAGAGGAACTTTGGGTTTGTTAGCTTTAATTGGCTCCATTACAAATGTTTTGGTTGCATTTGGCTACAGCTATTTGAATTTCTTTTACAAAGTGTTATCGCAATTGTCTCTTATTGTGTATTTTTTTCTTAAATGCGAATATTTTTGAGCAGTGTGTTTTTACAAAACAGTCTTAATACTGATATTCTTCAGCTTTAGCAGGTCTTCCCAAGCTGAAAGTTTTGTTAGGTTGCATCAAAAATTAAGAGTTTTTCAGTGATGGTTGGTTCTTCTCCAAAGTGATGTTCAGTTTCCTAAAAAGCTCTGACTTGTGTTTGCTTTTAGGTGCTATTGCTATAGCATGGAAAAGGACTAAATAGGTTCTAGTATTCTCTATAAGAAGTGAAGTGTTTAACTACTGTTTAGTTTTATGATAATTAATTGAATATGTTAAATTTTTTAGGATTCTTAAATATTTCTCTTTTTCAGGTGAAGAACCTTATTAATGTTTCAGTCAATAAATGACATGTTTACAGATACCTTTTCCCCCTTTTTTTTTACTGTTGTCTGTTAAATGCCTCCCTGAGGGGCTTAGACTTTGCCCCTTGTCAAAATAATTTTTCTGTAGGTGCACTTCAAAAATACAATCCAGGATAGAGACAGCTATTGGATTTTAGAGTTGCTATACTCATTTGCAGTAACTTTCTTCTCTGCGTTTACCTTACTTTTTACTTTTTTAGGTTTTTCTGCAGTGATGCAATTATGTTTGATGACAGCACTAAGGATGACAGTGAGCTAATTCAGGATGCTGAGCAAGATTGCCAGAAACAGGAAATAAAACATACAGCAGAAGATATTTCCCATTCTTCAGAAACTGAAAAATCAACAAGGACTATCTTGACACCTCCTGGAGGAACACAGAAAAATTGCTTCCAGTGGTTTAGCAGCCTTCTAAATAATTCAGGAAATCCTGGTCCATCTCATACTGTGTTTTCACAGCAGTTTCACCAACAAAGAAGGAACTATGTTGTACCCCAGAAAGATCAGATTAATGGGGCGCAAAAAGAGAGTGGGGCTGTGTGTGGCGAATTGGAGGAAGAATCTTCCCCCTTAACAGAACTGGACCAGTCATCACAGTCTCAAAGGTCCTGTGACCCCTCAGAATGCAGTTTGGAGTCTTCAGAAGTACTGCAAGTGTCTAACAACAGTTCAGATACAGAAGTAAGAACACTAGATAGACATTGTTTCAGCGTTTTCTTTCACTTGAAATTATAAAAAAAATTAGGCAGCAAAGTCTTCTTTTCAAAATGAAACCCTGCAGATTATGTAGCTTGTGGTAACAAAACTTGTCAATACTTAACATAGTTGTGTACAATGGGTTGACTTACTAGTTTGAATCAAGTCTGTTTTCTGGTTTTAGTTTGTCTTCAGTCCTTCCACCTCTATGACTACAGTGGGTCTTAAAGTCCTGGTAGACTAGCTTTTGATCTCTGCTTTCGTTAGCCCTTGCAGATGTCCTTTCAGAAAGCCTATGTGTCTGAGACTGTAGTGTTGCTTGCTGAAAAGAAGCCCAGGTTTTTCTTCAAGTTCTTAAAATTGCTGAAAACTTTATACCTGGTAAAGTATGTATGTGTAGATAGAGAAATATAAATTGTATTTAAGCCAAACAAAACCCAACCAAAATAAGTCTGTTTTAAAACCTGTTTTGAATTTTCTTTTGATGAAGGAATCTGACTCCAAGTCAAGACAAGCTGATGGTCAACATACTAAGTCTCCAGTATTTTCTGCTGTTCAAACTGGCAGAAAAAATACAATCACAAAGACCAAGGTAAGATTTCTTTTAACTTTACTGTGAGCTCTCCTAAACTCTGAAAATCAGTTCTTGCTTTCTACTGGTTAATTCTAGAACTCTTAATGAAAGAATCTTCAGCCATGCACATGTTGGCAAGAGAAAACTATATTTTTCATGTGGATCAGAGCTAAGATCTGTAATAAATAAGAACCTGGCCGCCTAGGATTGATATCACAGTTGCAACTTGTCTGGGGATTTTAAGCATTTTGATATAAAAAAAGCCAAGCTAAGGCAAAAACCCCACTTCTTAATTTTCCTTAGGCATGCTTAATTACACAGGTTTTATGCAAATTGCAGTCATGTTCATAATTGAGATACAGTCAAAAGATACAACCTTATTTTATTGCTTGTCTGGACAAACCTTCTAGTCTAGCAATATCCTTCCTCTGACTGAAAAAAGCATGTTTAACTTTGAAAACCTGGAAAGGTTTCAGTCAACCTTTCTTGTTTATTTTAGTTAATATCCTTGTTAGGCACTAACAAATCAGTACAGAAGGACAGTCAATTTTCCTTCAGATCCTGCATTACAATATTTATTTGGCACCCGTAATTTGACTTCTATGTGGTTTCTTAGATGTCTAAGAATAAACTTGTGTCCCTTGTATTTGTGATATTTGTAAAAGCTTTGCCCATTTGTCTAGTTTATGAAGCTTCTGAGACAGCTAAAAGTGTTCTAACTCCTCAGAAATTGTCATTATAATTGGCCTAGAATTGCCCATCCTATTAGAATAGGATTCATAAGTCAAAGGAAGACACTTCCATCTGTTCTCCTACTAACTTCTTTCTCATAGACCGGAAACAAGCTTCTCTCTGTGGAACAAGAATGTCTGTTTTGTGCGGCAGTGACATCTTGTGGTTAGCGCTAGTAACTTCTGCGTTAAACTTGGGTTCACATCTTTATTCTGGAACATCCCAGTACATAAATTGATGCTTTTTCATTGGATTAATATTTTGTCCACTTCTCCTCAACAAGACTGAGCAATGAAATGAAAATATACTGGCATTCAGAATTTGATTACTTTGGTTTTTATAAATGGATTTAATGATTTGCTTCATGTCTTGCTTACCTTAAAGGTATATTGGGAGAATGAATATACCAAATACTGGGGAACACAGATGTAATATAAGCCTCATATCAACAAATTTTCAGGATGCTTGGAGCTCTTCAGACAATAGGGAATATGTTGAAAATCCACGAGGACAGTAGGGTTAATGTAAAGCAAAGGGCTAGTGGGAGGATTTCCCCCACTTATTTCCTCAGCCACGCATTCCTTCTGCTTCCTTTATGTGCTGGTAGTAATACTTGCAATCAGTTGGATTAGCAAACTGACTTGGCTGAAAACTGCAACAACCAAAAGGTCAATCATATCAGAACTCAGGCCCTCAGGCTTGTGTGAGTTTTAACACCAGTGAGAGGTGTTAAGGTGGTGAGAGGTGTTGAAGAGGGGGGAGGTAGAGGTGGGAAGCACCACTTTTGGCTCAGTTTTCACAGAATCACAGAATGGTAGTGTGTGGAAAATGCCATTGCCGGAGGTCGATGCTCCAATAGGAGACAGGATTCCTGTAAAATATACTTAATTTGAATAAAGGGAGAGTCCAGGGGCATATCCTGGTGGGGTCTCTGTTTTTCTGGGGGACACAGCCCCCTTTTTATCCTAATTTCCCAGCTGCAAATTTCCTTCCTCCTTTCCCCACTGGCTGAGGTACTCAGGGTGTACAGACTGTCGGGTCCGCCTACTACAGATCCCCCTCAACATGTACCCCCCTCTCATACATCTTAAGTCTCCTTAACTTCATTTTATGCCTCCCCTGGGAGGAGAAGTTACTATTTATATGTGCATTAAGCATGCCTACTAGTTCCTAAAGTTCAGAAGTTGAGCCTCTGCAAACTTCTTGAGGTAGATATCTAGTTTTGTTTAAATTCATTCAAGTCCTCAGGTTCTTCTTGATTGGTTCTTTTTGTATGTAAAGTGGCCCGTCTATCACCTTGGAGCACCAGAAATTGCATCTCTCCACAAAGTGTTCCCCCACTACTCCCTGCTTTGAAGACACATTCCCCCTCTTTATTCTATCAGTAGGGTTGGAAGGAACTTCTGGAGATCATCTAGTCCAACTCACATGTGCACAGGAATGCATCCAGGCAGGTTTTGAATATCTGAGGAGTTGGCTCCACAACTTCTCTGGACAGCTCGTTCCAGTGCTCTGTCACCCTCATAGTGAGGAAACTGCTTCGTGTGTTCAGATGGAAGTTCTGTGCTCCTGTTTTCCATTACGATTGCTTACTGCAAGCCTAAAACAAGGGAAATGTGTTAAGTACAGTAAAAGATACCAAAGGCAATAGCAAGCTCCAGATCTAAGGAAGAAACAGTCAATCCCTTAAAATATAAATTATTGTGATGTTGCTAAGCTGAATGACATAGCTTACCTGTAGAGAAAATTATCATCTGTGGGACATGATCTGGGGAAACTGTCATCTCTTATCGTGGTTCCCATCCAAACTGTAAAGTGCCTAGCTAGTCAAGATCAAAATCATATTCTAATATCAAAACTAATATAGGCATCTGTTTGAGAAAGACTTCTAAGATAGTGATCTCTCTAGGACCTTGTAGTTCTGTGATAGTATTCCAGCTGTGGGTTTTACTGCTATTTTTCTTCCACGGTTCCTGTAAATCTATCAAAGAGGATACAATACAAACACAATACAAAAGAAAAGGGAGTGATCTACTCTGGTTTTAAGCTTGTTCGTGGGTTTTTGTCATGCAGCTTTGCCTACTTCTGGGTTAATTAACATATAATTGATGGAATTCACTACTGGAAAGAAATGTAGGATTATGGGTGCTTTAACACATCTTGCAAACTGGCTGAGGTGATCAAGAGCAAAATATTATAAAGCAGGGAGTTTTAGGAATTTATTCTTCCAGGCATTCTTGTTCTAATTTTTTAGCCTACGCTTTAAACTTCTTTTTTTTTTCCCAAGAATTCCACAAACTGCTTGGTCAGTTCAGGCAGAAAAAATGTCATTTCAATAAAATATGTAACAAGCATTTGCGGTAGGGGGATGACAAAATGCAGTGGTGTTTTGGAATGAACTGTGGTTTAAGTTCTCTTTGAAGAAAAAGCTGCCAATATCTTTTATTTTAGGGAAAAAAACCCAAGCCTGTTAGCTGATCAATAGTAAATACTTGGATGAGAAAGAGCTGTTTGCATTAAATGAAGCACCTGAAATAGGCAGAGCTTCTAAAGATGGTCCAGCAAAACAGAAAAGATTAGTTCAGAGTAAAGTGCTTTATTCTTAACATTATCCAGATGGGAAATATGAGCATTATTTACAACTTAGATGTCCCAAGCTAATCCTATGTAGTCAACTGTAAAAGAACTTCTTACAATGGTAGGCAGTCATCATCTCTTCTGCAGATATTGTGTTTTGATAATTAAGTTTTGGTCCTCATAATGGCAGACAAAACCTAAAATAGCAGGCTAGGAGTTGGTGATCTCTTAGAGGCTGGTAATTGTGTGAGGAGTACATATCTTACAATGAGTGTGTCAAACAGCAAAGTGTTCTAGTGCTGCCAAATGGCTACTTCCTGAAAAACTGAGGAAAATGGTAAGTGTATGTAAGAGAGAAGGAATTATAGAAAATATGAATAAGCCATTTGTGGCCTTTTGCTACTTGTGATCTTGTTTAACAAAAAGTTATAACTTTGCCTAAAAGTATGTTACATGCGTTTAATGACTGTGCTATGAATATGCACCTATAGTACAAGTGGAAAGAAGTTATTGCTATGTTATTTCATAGATGCTATACTTCTATAAAATGAGGTAAGCTACTTAAAAAAAACAGTCCTGCAGACTGAGCTTTATTGTTTCTTCCACTGTTAAAATAATCTCATTTGCTTTTTATACATGAAGTTCAGGAAGGCAAAAATGATCAATGTCATATCAGTATTAGAATGTGTGATAGCAGCAGTCTGAGTAATTATCAGCCAGTTAGCCTGATACTGACCCCCAAAAAAATGACAGGAATATAAGAGATTGTGGTTAGGGATGAGAATATGAAACAAAAATCACACTGACTAAGCTCATTAGAGAAATTCACTTATGTCAAAATGAGTTTCATGTACCTGTAAATCTGAAAAAATAGATTCAGTGCTTAAAAACTAAGTGATATGAAAATGAGGCATGCAATTTTTTCATAGCTACGATAAATTATATATTGAAGCTATGTATTTTTCTTTTAATTGATGTGTTCAAACTTAGGACTGGTTGCATTTGAGGGAGATATTCTGACCAAGCATAGCTGGTTTGAGTTCCATGTACAGAAACTGGATAAGGTGGCCCAGCTAGAGGTCTAATGATGCCTGGGGTAATCACACCAGTGTCTGTGCTCTGCTTAGGTTTCATGAAAAATGAAGTTGTAGGTCTCACAGAGTGATACCAGAGTAGCCTCTCTTAAAATTTTAAAAGCTGACATCGAAGAGTTTTTGTTGTGCTCCCATGTAAACAAATGAGAAAATAAATATTGAATAGACTTTAAAAAACACATTCAGAAAAAATGTGTTTGCAACCTCCTAAAATAGACAGACTATGGAAACTGATTTGCAAGTTCTTACAGCTGCCTTACATCTAATGTTTTTGAGAGAGATAACACTTTCTGGACTATAGAAGCTATCTATCTAAACATACCTTGTTATTGCAGTTCAGACTGCATTATCTCATCACAATGTAAAGCACTTCATTTTTGATTATAACCTTTTCAGCATAGTATATGTGGCTTACAGGTTGTCATTTTAACCATTTATGCTGTAATATTAAAATCTTACAGGTTCCTGGTTTGCATAAACCCAGTTCTCTAGGGTCTCGTATTGTAACAAAGCTCAAGCCGTTGATACCAGCAAAAGTAAGTGGGTTAAGCAGGAAGCTCTCACCTATGCAGAAGAGAAATCACTGTGATGCTGAAAATAAGCTGGGACTGCAAGATGCCCTGAGTGAACTCCGGAAAAACTTCCAGTTTAAAAGGTGAGTTTCTTCAACCCTTTACATAAACCCTGTATACTTTTTTTCCCCCAGAGAAACAATTTTCAAAGCAGTCTCTACACATCTTCTCTGCACAAGTCAGTAAAGATAATGGCTTAAGAATGACATTTCATACATACTTTTTAAAATTTCCTGAGCTTGCTATAACCATGAAGTATGATTTGTGGTAAATATGCTCTTCTAATTACCTTTTTTCTTTCTAACCAGGAAAAACTCTCACTAAATTTTATTTATTGAAGTAGTTGAGCATCATTTAAATGAAAATTAACATTGTTTGACATCAAATACCAAAAGGCATTTCTTAGTCTAAATGCAAAAGCTGTGTAAAAGTTGCTAAGCTTAATTGAATAGAAGGTTACTTCTATTTAACTTTATGTGCCTCTTACATTTTGACCCGGCTAGTTGTCAGAACAGTTCTACTTTCAAGATGATGGTAAATTGATGGAATATTTCCTTTAGCTGAAGTTTCTGGTTACAAGAGACATTTCTGCACATCATAAAGTGATGTTGTTTTCTCTTGTGCAGATGACTAGGCTAACAAAATTTCTGCAAACATCTTTGAGGTTTGAACCTGAAAGACAGTATTTATTTAGAAAGAAACCAACCCACAAAACCAAAAAGTGTAGGTATTCTAACTTACACTATTTCCATGGGCTCAAGTAAAAACTCCTAGTGGCAAAGCTTTCCCAGCTCCAAGTAGCAGTCTCAACTTTGAATAAATAAGTCTTATTTATTCAAATTTAAATAAAATTATTCTCATTCACCTGAAACCTAAGACGGACAAAAGTATTCTTTGCACTGAGTAGTAAATGTGAGACTGACAAGCATGCATTACATTAGACAAATGTATTTTAGTAAGCTTGGGGCTTACAGGAGGCTATTATGAGCATACAACTCATTTCTTTTTAAAACCTATTACTTGCAGTATTAACATTTTTAGAAATGTTACTTTTTATCATTGTGTTGATGTGGGTTAAGAATGACAATTTCAAAGAGGAAGTGAAAGTGCTGGTGTATGTATTGATTGACCTCTAATTGGGGGTGTCTGATCAGGGTTGTTCACAGGGAGAAAATTCCTATTTTATCAGAATACAGGCAGATAGAACAGAGTGAGCCTAGGTGGCATTCTGTCCCTTTTCTATTCTGATGGTTGTAAGACTTGACTACCAACATTCACATTTTATCCATCCATTTTTTTTTGGTCCATAACTTGGATATATACTGGGAATATATTTATTTTTAAAATATCATCTCTATATAGAGAAAGTGCATGTTTGTTAGCTTTTAAGGTATTGTTTTCATAATTTAGTTCACCAAAAGCTTTAATTCACTGCCAGGACTTACTTAGATCTGAGTATTCTCTATGTTTTTTCAGATTTTAAAATGTTTCTGAATTAACCTTGTCTTAAGAATTGCATTGTCTGATAGCAAATAAATCACATGGGACACTAATCTGTTCTGTCCTAATGTCAAGAATCATGGGGTAAATATTAAACTAGAGTAACTCGGAAGACTTAAATGTTAAGGAAGCATGTATGACCCAGAGCAGGATGAGGTACAGAGATTCTTTCAGATGCAAAGCTAATAGCTATCACTCTGTTATTTGAAATTACCTTCAGTGAAACTGTTCGCTTGTAGTGAGATGGTAATTAAAACTTCCCACCACAAATTTTTATTTTGGGTTTATTCATATGAGTGGGTAGTTAGGTGAGGGGTCTGTCTTGCTTTGTTTTAACCCAGGCCTGTGGTTAGAAACACAATATCATAACATTCTTGGGTTTTGTTTTGTCTCTGTTTTTTTGTGCAGAGAATATGAAAAACTTCCCTCTTGTAAGAAGTCAGACCCATTGTCTCCAATCAAGGATAATATACAGCTCACTCCAGAAACAGAAGAAGAAATCTTTAATCATCTTGAACGTAGTCATGTTCAGAGAGCTATATTCCCATGAACTGTATGCTGTGTACAATAGGATGCACTTTTAATCATTGTCAAAATTTACCTTCTAGATATTTCATCACTATAGGAAAGGTGCTTTGAAAACCAACTATGTATTTTAGTCTGACTAGTGATTTGTCATCTTTTTTTATAAAAGCCTGAATTGAAAGGTACAGTTCTATACTGCCTGGAATAAAGTCCTTTAGATTCCTGTGTCCTCTTATTCAAAATCCAATGCTAAACTTTTGTCCAAATCTTTCAGCTGCCCCTGGGCATTTTATGTAGGTCACACATGCAATCCAAGTTTCTACAACAGCTCTGGCTTTGCCTTTGCACAACAGCGCCAGAACAAGTTTGTGTCTTTATTTTTAATAGTTGATATCTTTTTTTGGTATCTTCCTTCTTTCCCCCCGAGTCTAATCTGACTCCAAGACAGGAGTAAAACTGCTGCTGAGTGTTCATAAAGGCCTTCACTATACTTCCAGCACTCTGATAACTGCTGCTTTTCTCTATAAGGTAAGAGATCTGATCTCTGAAGTTAGCTTTCTGTTAGACACAGTAATGTTACTGGTGGGATTAACTCGTGATACTCCTTTCTGCAGTCCCCAAATATTTGGTCTGCAAATTCTTACATCAATAGAATAACCTCAGAAGAAACAGTGTTCCTCTGTTTTACCTGCTCTTTCCACATCGCTAATCTCTAACAAAAGACACACAAAGTACCAGTGCTCAGAGCTATGCGTTACAAAAGAGCATTGTCCTCACAACAAACTAAGCTTTAGTCTTCAATAGACAATCAACTAAATGGAAAGAACCCAGGAGACTAGGAACCTGGATGACTGAATTATCATGAAGTAATATGATGGGATTTCAGATTTCTAACTTTAAAATCAGTAATTGAGTCAATATAAAGATATACCTAATTTTTTTTCCTTTTAGGAAAGTGTAGTATCTGTGCAGCAGATGAAAGTGCAAAAGGATAGATTAACCTGTGAAATGTATCCCTTCAATTCCTGAGGAGAATACTTCCCCTTCATCTTTGAGCTTTTCACAAAAATTGACTAATGAAAGGTAGGGTATTTTTTTTTAATTAATGTACTTCAAGGGAATTTACATTATGTAAAACTAAGATTACCAGCTGCATTAAACTATAAAGAAGCTGCTTACAAGTGTAGGTTATGTGTATGTTTGTGGGAGCAGTCATCTTGTTTCTACACTTATGTTGAAAGTATGGGACATAGGGAATTGAAGCAATGATGCTCTAGGACAGGCTTCCTCTCATGTATGCACCACTATAAAATCCCTACTGACAAGCAGGGCTTTTAATATTGATCTTCAATGAGAACTTCTGTCTAGCATGATGTGAGGAAATAAAGGCCAGGGATAAATGTTTGTGTTTCCAGTCAATGAACTGTAGCCTGGAATGGTTGCGTTGCTACAAATATATTAACAATGACAATGTATTTTTGAAGAGAAAACATAAAAATAGCTTGTTTTCCTCCATTGTTTATTTATAAGTGTGGGAGTTGTAAGGTTATTTCGTACAGTCCATCCTTGCCTGCTGCCTGCCTCTTCAAAGAGCCGCTGGTTCCTGCTTTAGTGGATCATTAGAAGAGACAAACTACTCATGTTTGTATTTTTAAGGACAGGTAATTTTAAGTGAGTGTGGGACACCTTGCAAGCTAGCTGTGTGAAAGCAGGACTGCCCCTTTTAATTCCATTGACTGCAAATACTGCCTTGCCTCTTCCTGTGGTTCGCATCTTGAATATACCATAACTTGTTTTACCCTAGTGTCTCTGAAGAGAGAATAGCGGAAACAAAGCAAATGTTACATGTGCATCTATATTGACACTATTTTGTCAGAAAAGGGTGCCCTGTTTTGTTTTGGGGTTTGTGGTTTGGTTTTTTTTTTTTTTTTCCCCTCTATGGACAGCAGCATAAAAATACAATTGACAGTGACTTAAGTGGCATAAAGCATGTGAAACTTGCTGGAGTGCTATTGCAGCAGTAGGTACTAGGGGAATTCATGCAAAAGTCCTTGGTTGTGTTACATTGTCTTAAAAAACTTGTTGGAAATCTACTTTAACTTCTGGTTTGTGCTTGGGAGGTCTTGGGTTCTGACTTCACATTATAGGGGATTTTTTCAGAAAGCAGCTAACAGAGTAGAGGCCTCTGTTACATTACATGTAAGCATATAATAGCCTGCAAGTTTTATAGTTAAGTGTGGAGTTCTTAGCATGATGTTTGTTTTATGAAATCTATGATAACATATATAGAAAGGAATTCATACAGGACTTCATTCCTGAGCTACAACTGACTCTTGAGTTGTATATATTTGGTGTATATATACAACATGAATATTACAGAATATTACTTGAGGGTAACATTCTGGAGTAAATATTCAGTATCAAAATATACTTTTTTTTTTTTTACACGTTATGGGCTGAGGAGAGGAAGATAAAAAAAATATACCCCAATGAAAAGAAAATATAAGAAAGGAAACATGGAAGGAAGGAGAGTTTGGTTGTTTTAAAAAGCAGTCATTTGAAAAGTAGGACATGAAAGCAGATGGCAGCGTGGAGGCATATGTCTTTATGAGTGGTGTTTGCTTTTTCATCTAATATTATTTCTTTTTTTTTTTTTTTTTTTTTTAGTTTCTATAAATATTCTCTAATTTTATCAGTAGGACTTCAAAGTATTCTTGCAAAGTGAATGGTGTTCCTATATCCTATTAAAAGCAGTGAATCTGGCACAGGAAAATTAAGTTTACTGATGATGGTCGAATGAAGCTTCGCTTTTTGAAAGCGCCGGCCTAGGTGTTCCTCCAACAGCATGGGCATGTGAACTGCAAATGCCTGATATCCCAGAGAAATAATATGAGAATCTGTGATCATCCAAATCAAGTAATGGTTTTGAAACTCTGGGTAAGTAACTCACTTAGAACACAAATAGATGGAGCTGGAGGGGAGCCACAAAAATGAGAGAGCTAGAACACCTCTCTTCTGAGCAAAGGCTGAGAGAGCTGGGGTTGTTCAGCCTGGAGAAGAGAAGACTTTGGGGACACACTACTGCAGCCTTCCAGTACTGAAGGGGGTCTGTAAGAAAGATGGGAACAATCTTTTTAGCAGGGCCTGTTGTGACAAGACAAGGGGCAATGATTTTAAACTAAAAGAGGGTAGATTTACATAGGGTTTTTTTCACTTGTGAAAACCGGAAATGTTTTTACAAAAAAGTGTTCTGAAACACTGGCACAGGCTGCCCAGAGAGGTGGTGGATGCCCCATCCCTGGAAATATTCAAAGTCAGGTTGAATGCAGCTCTGAGCAATCTGATCTAGCAACCCTGCTCAGTGCAGGGGGGTTGGACTCGATGACCTTTAAAGGTTCCTTCTGCCCCAAAACTTTCCATGATTCTATGACTTGTCCAAGTTCAACAGAGTCTTTCTGCTTAAATATTTTTGTTCTAATTACAACATCCGATATTAATCACATGTTCCATCACACAAATCCATGTAGTAGGATTATTTTTATAGTACTGAAGAAAGATTATAGGGCTTTGCAAACACTGTAAAAGGTCATTACATTTAAATAATAGTATTTGAATAGATTTTGCAGTACTGTGGCATTTTTCTTATTGGCATACTGTTACTTTATGATGTTCCAGAAGCTCATGGTATTCAGGTTGTATGTCTCAATATCTGTTAATTTTGTTGGTAACAAAAATGGTTACAGTTCTGAGGTGGCAAAGCTAAGGGACAATTCTTTGCTCTTACTACTTGCATCAAATAACTTCCAGCTGATTGTTTCATCATTCCTAGATCAAGATGTTGTTATGGTACCAAATTAAAGTTATCAATACAGGGGAGAACAAAAAGGAGGGAATCCCTTTCTGAACAGTGGAGGCCATTTTATACTGGCATGAATCTCTCTTCAGCAATCCAGCATTTTTTTGGTAACAGTCTAGAAATTAATATAGTTGTTGCTCCTGTGTTTTTTGTGTGTTATTACATACTTTTCAGTTTGGCAGTGAAATGACAGGGCGTCTGAATACGACAGCTCCAGACAGAAGAGACAAGGTGTGGGGAGGAGAAGGCAAGATCAAAACCAGTTCCTGAATTTGTTAGCTCAAAAGTGCTATACGATTATAATTACAGGGTGAGCTACTGTTGAATTACTGTTTCTTGCTGAAGTACACAGATTTCAGTACTCTTCAAGAGCAACTATTACAAATACAACGTTCAAGCCTCTCTGTTGTAAAGTACTGATGACATATCTTGGGAATTATGGATGGCAAAAACAAATAATATAAAGAACAGTAGAAAGTGCTCTAGATGATGAGGCACTGGGTCTGATGAGGCCTTTCTACGTTTTTGGTGATATTTGGTAAGTCACACCAGCTTCCATATCCACAGAATAGCCCAGATGGCATTCCTCAGGTACTACTGCAGGAGAACTATTAGGTAGGTGTTTTTCTTAATATTGCAAATCCTATATATAACAGTCTTCTCATTTCAAGAATATTCTAGTAGAGAGTGAGGAGTTTCATGCTTAAGGCATGTATTTAAACTGTTTGGCTCCTCTGCATTTGCAGAATGCATATTCTAGGCATGGAGTGAATGTCATTGGGTTTTGCAAGAACTGAAGTTGAATTAGTTTGAAGTACAATTAACGACTTCTTCAAGAAACAGATTGGGACACCTCCACTGTGCCTTGAATAGCTTAGGTAATACAATAAAAGATGTCATTCCATCTGTTTGAAATTGGATGCTTTATGCTGCATCTAAATTACTTCTATTATGATTTTTTGATCCTCTATGATCACCTCTTTAAATTTTCAATTTTGCTTCAGACTGAAGAGTAATGTTTAGTGGTGAATGATGTGAGTTACTGCCCCATTTGGAGTAGGACCTTCTTCCTTGTTTTCATTGCTGAATTCAATTTACGCATACCAAAATGCACCATCTGAGAGTCCTCTTGATCTCAAATTCTTCTCTGTGGAAAGTGGGAATACACA